CCCCTTCCCTCCTCTCCTCTCTTCTCCTTTTCTTTTCTTTTCTGAAAACTATTTTATATTTACTTGAGACTGCATATGTCTGAATAGCCCAGCTGGCCTGGCACTGTTGATCTTCCTGCCCCAGCTTCCTGAGTGCTGGAGATATACCCACAGTGCCTGAATTTAAATACCCTAATCTGGTAGCAAGTTTGTGATTGGACTGTAGAATACAAAGTTAATTTTTTTTTGGATCACTAAATTTATTTTGAAATAATAATAATAATAATAATAATAATAATAAAAATAATAATAGTATACTCAAATAGTACCAGTACTGCCTAGATTTCTTTTATACCGTCTTCTTTCAAGAACAGGCATTTTTTAAAAATAAAAACTGTCCTATGGCTGCATATTGTTATTTATAAATTATATTTCTTAATGAAACAAAATTTTAAAGTTGTGGGATTTTAGTGACCTAATTGGTTAGATTTTTTTATTGTTGATGTTGTTATTTTATTCTCCAGTATTTAAAGTAGAAAAGGCAGAAGACTGGTATTAGGGGTTATAATAAGGTCCCCCGCCCTTGCTTTACCCAAACACAGTACTTCAGTTAAGTAGAGATGGTTTTGTAAATGCACATATGGACAGTCTCTTACATCACTAATTGTGAGACCCCTTCGTGGGTCTAGTTAGTTTCGTTGAATTTTTTCCTTTGATTTTTTTTTTTTTTTTTTTAAACCTGGAGCTCACTGGTTTCATTATACTGGCCAGCAAGGACCAGGAATTCGCCTGTCTAGCCTGTCAAGTTGTGGCAGGACAAGAGTGTGCTGCACCCAGCTTTCTGCATGGATTCTGGAGGACCGAGCTCAAGTTCTCAAGCGACACAGAAAGCCAGCACTTTCCCACCTGAGACCCCCGCAGCCACCAGTTTAGTTTTTTAAGATTATTATTTTGCATTTCCTCATAGTTTTGCAACTTTAAGTAAAAAATTGGTCTAGTTCTGTAGAATTTGTCACTTACCTTTAAACTTGACTATGGTAGAGTACCCTTCACCCCCTTTTTAAAATGAGACAATAAAACTGGCTGGTTTTAATAAAACTTACTATAGTTGAGCTTTTACAAAATGTATCCTTTTAGAATTTTTATGTTTGTTTTAAATACAGATCTGGTGTTTATTTTGTATAGAGACAGGACATTTTCATGATCGCTTTTTGTTTTTGAGACAGGGTCTCGCTGTGTCTGGAACTTAGTACGTAGAACAGCTTGGCCTTGAACTCATGGAGATCCTCTTGCCTCTGTCTCCCAAATGCTGGGATTAACAGTGTCTGCCACCATGGCCGGCTGTAGTTACTTTTAAACTGTTCATTCCTTGTATTATGTGATGGCTCCTGATGAGTGACTCATGGCAACGCGGATCCAGAGGAGAGAGCTAATTAATATACTTCATAGATAAGAGTTGAATTGAATTTTTATGGCCTATCATTTCACGACAGGAGTAAGGAGTTAAGGTAAATTGTAACTCTTGTTAAGATTCAATGATTTTTATGATTTAATACAGTGTGTTTTTGTGCTTTTTAATCATTGTGTTCTTAGCTTGATCTTAATCAGTGTCATTATAATTGGTGCCTTTTGATTTTGAATCTTGGTTAGTGCTTATTTCTGTTAGCTTTGCTTATATAACGCTGATTTATACTAAATAAAGTCTCTTTACAGTAACTTAGCAGTTGTGTCCAGGTTGCATTCTTGTGAGAATGTTTATTTTGTAGTACATACATGGAATTACTGGGTCATAGGTGCCATTTAGTGTAACTTTATAGTTAGTATGATTTTATGAGTGTCAAAATTAACAAATCCTCTGATCAGGTCTTACAATTAGAGATGTTACTAGTTGGGGTACAGCTTGGTGTTCCTAGATTCTTCACATCTTATTCAAAGCACTGAAGTAATGCACAGAGATTTGCAAAGGTAGCGGGAAGACTTTTATTTAAAGTGAATTGATGGACTAGGTCAGATTCACTGTTGAGGGGGACAGTGAGCCATGTAATTGAAGCCCTTCAAGGACACCGTTGATGTTTGTGACTTTCTTTTATACATTCAAGTGAAGGCAAAGTTCACTCACTAGGGATGTATGTAGTTTGGATGATTCTCTATTTTGATTGACAGATGTTAAATTATATAATCCTTTTTGAACTATACGTATGCCTTTCTATAATGCATCTGGTTTTAATCATATCCATGCCCAAGTACGCGTGGACAGATAGTAAATAGAGGATTTTCACTTTAAGTACACAGTTTGCTTTACTGCACATATACCCCAAGCCAGTTCAGACTGAATTGGCCTTTTCATTCTTTGGAGTGGGCTGCTCATACTAATAGGTTGCTAAGTGCATTGTTCAGAGAAAGGGGGTGTGTGGATAGTCCACACCAGGTAGACTCCCAGGTTGCTAAACCCTGTGTGCTTGCCTACCTCAGAGACATCAGTTCTGTTGTGGTAATATGCAGAGCTGATGTAATGACCATTAGATTGTAAATAAAGGAGTTGAATGTCCCAATCTTTAACTAGCGGAAAAGGGGATATGCATTGAATAGTCATCATAAACTAGCTTATGTAACGTGCAGACATAGATGGCAAGGTTATCTGTTAAAGTGTACTCATTTCAATTCAAGCAGTATAACGTTAGTGTCGGTGACTTGGCCAGGTATGGTGCTTAGCAATGGGGAAAGATGAGTCAGAGCCCTTCCTTTAACACTGAGCCTTGGAAAACAAATCCTGCTTTGGTTTCTAGGTAGGATGGAATATTGACTGACCTAGACCAGTAGATTTGGAAGAAATGAAGAAGAGAAAGGGAAATGTTTTCAGATCTGCTTGTGAACGCTGAAATCCTGAGTAGAAATGTGGTGAAGAATGACGTAGTGGAGGGGCCCTTGCTCTCTGTGAGTCTAGACCATGCAGCCTGATGGAGAGAGAGCTGATGTAATACATGTTGTGTACTTCTTCCCAAGAGAGATTCTTAGCTGCCTTTCTTTCCATCCATCTGTCTGTCTTGTCTGTCCATCCGTCCATCTTGGAAGTGTTTGCCTGCATGTGTGTCTGTACACATGTAACTTTCTTATTGACAAAATGCTTAGCTATCTGTCTGTAAACTTCAGATGTTATTTTTGGATATCAGTATAAATTGTTGATGTACTAAAATAATAATTCATTATTTAATCGATGCGTTAAAGGCTGGAAATACGTTCTTAAGGAGACTTGTATGTCTTTGACGAAGTCCTGGCTAAAATATATAATGGCAAAGTTATAGATTTGAAAACAGATTTGTTTCCTATGTTATGGATTTTAACTGTTTGTTTGTGATATCCATTGCCCTCTGCCTACCGGACTCATTGTAGACTTGCTTTCCTGTGTTCTTTGACCTCTCAGGCTCTGGTCTATTGACTGTTAAGGACTATATGTATTTATGTGCTACAGCCTGTGTTTGGTAGTGCTGCTTTCTTTCTGTATTCTTAATGAACATTAGTAATATTTGATGACATCCTTTTTAATATATTAGATATGTAGTACACACTTGTTGATCATTTCCTTGTTAACTCTCTGAGGGGTTGTCTCTCACCAGTTAACATTTTGCTGCTTTTTCTTTTACTAGTTTCTCAAGCAATTAGGCCTGCATCCTAACTGGCAGTTTGTTGATGTGTACGGGATGGAGCCTGAACTTCTTAGCATGGTACCAAGACCAGTGTGCGCAGTGTTACTCCTCTTCCCTATCACAGAAAAGGTAATTGTAAAGCAAGATACGCAGTTTCTGATAAATGCAGATTTGTGATGTTGAATACAAAATAGTCTTTAAAAACAAGTGATGCCTTTGTTACGTATAATCAGCAAAATAAAAAGTAAGGAAATCTTAATGCGTATTAAAATAAAAGATAGTTATAGGTTAACAATAAAGCTTTCTGTTAGTCTTTTACCTCCAGCTTTTTTATCTTAACAAATATGGTTAGCTCGCCTCAGCTTTGTGACAGCGACTGACTTTAACACTGGTGCATGAAGCTGAGTGTCAAGGAGTGTGACTGCAGTCCTTGCTACCTGAAAGGCTGAGGCAGGAGAATCGTTTGAGCTCAGGAGTTGCAGACTGGATTGAGCAATACAGTGAGACCCTTGTGTCTCCCACGAGCAATGAGTCAAGTCACCGGTGTGAGAATGCCTTTTCTTTCTCAGATTGTTACCGTAGACAGTTAGCACTTGTTCTCAGTCTTTTATCAGCCTGGTATACAGTGATGTTATGATCTTACTCTAAATTCTGTCTTATCTTAGGCTCCACCTCGCCTTTCGTACCCTTCCTTTACAAACTTGTCTTGTTTAGTGTGTGGTTTTTGCATGAGGACTATTGACTTTTTCCCCCAATAGTATGAAGTCTTCAGAACAGAAGAGGAAGAAAAAATAAAATCTCAAGGACAAGATGTTACATCATCAGTATATTTTATGAAACAAACCATCAGCAATGCCTGTGGAACGATTGGACTAATCCATGCCATTGCGAACAACAAAGACAAGATGCACTTTGGTAAATCACTTTCTGTTCCAGTTTTTCTCTTCAGATGTGTTAACTTCATTAAACAGTAGGGGGTGCTCTAATTCTCTCCAACTATAAAGTAATGGTTATGGGAGTGTATATATGTATAACCTGCCAGGACAGAAATAAATCCTTCCCATTCTTCATATTGTTGATGAACAGTTCAGTAAAAGAATATTTGACTTAATTATTTATCTCAATATTCTTAGATTCTTACCAATTAAAGAATTTTTACCTTAAAAAATTACAGCAGTTACTGTTAAATGTTTTTGTAATTAAAATTAAAATTTTAATCATTTTTGAAATTCTCAGAATCAGGGTCAACATTGAAAAAGTTCCTGGAGGAGTCTGTATCAATGAGCCCTGAAGAAAGAGCCAAATACCTGGAGAACTATGACGTCAGTACCTTCTTTCTATCCAACCTCATCCATGGGCACTTTGACAGGATTGTAGATTCTGTTTAGCAGTTTGTCATGAGGCCATAGTTTGGGGAGGCATCATTGTCATATCCATAAGAAAGGACTTCAGTTTTACTGAGGTAACTGTACCTGAAATATCTGTAATGTTGCTCAGTTGACAGTTCTGTGTCCAGAGCAGATGAATAAATAATTTAGTTTGCAAATTAAGTCCTGGGCACTGTAATCCAGTTTGAAGTGATCGTTTTAACATTGATTATTTTTGAAAATCATATTTCTTTTGAAGGCCTTTTGCCTTTTAATAACATCAATAGATGATAAGTTCTTTGAACTTAGAAGAAATACAATGTACATTTTTATACAGTTTGTTTAATGTTCCAAAATATCTTAGTTGCTTTAAGTTTAAAAATATTTGGAAGTTTTATACAACATCCTTATTTTGCATAAAGTAAGTGAACAACATGATAGTTGCTAGTAATTCCCCCAGTAAGAGGTTGCTGCCACTGATGGTTTTATAGGAAACATGTATGTGTATACACAATAGGTTTTTAATTGGATCACACTGTAATACTGTTTTATAACTTGCTTTTTTCACTTATCACAAACGTATTAACACCAGTAAGTATATATTTAACATTATTATTTTAATGGCTGAGTAGCTTTCCATTGTATAGTATATTTAACTAGTAAAATGCTGTTTGAAATCCAAGAGTTTTCTCTCTTTTTCACTACTTAAAATTATTACAAATTTGAGTGAAATATATTACTGTCTGAGGTTTTAGAACCATTCTTAATTTCATATAATCATGTACATTAACTACATCAACATATTAATGCCTAGAAGAGAAACTGCTAATCAGTTTGCATGTCTTAAGGCTTTAACACTTATCACCAAATTGCTATACATAACAATTAGACTTTTACCCCTGATTTTCTATTCTGTCCATTTCTCTGCATCTTTGATAGTAGTGGGGTTGACTGCAGCTCTTTTAAGTTTAGCTAACTGAATTCCCTAGCTTCTCATAAATGCATGCCTTTTGCACCACATGTTAAAATTGCCAACTGAAATGCATGATTAAGCAGAAATCCAGGCAGAGCCACAGGAGCATGCCCCTTGGAGAGACAGATGGCTGAGCGTCTTCAGTCTCTGTGAGATGCTCACTTTATTCTAGTCCCAAGTGAATAAAGTGTTAAGTGTTGCTCTAATAATTATCGAAGCTAAATGACGCTCTCCTTGCACTGTGTACATTAGACACGACGAGCCAGTCAGTTTCCTAATGCTTCAGGGATTTGTGGGTAGAAAGGACAGCAGTTCATTTGCTTACTGAGATACAGTTCTGAAAGGTTTCATGCTAAACTGCTCCTAAAGTTCTTCCCCTTTCCCGCCTCGTTCCAGGATTCTAGATGGGGAACCCTGAGCTTTGTGCTGTTTTCATTTAAAAGATGGAGTTGTTTTATGTTTTTGTAAATAGTTTATATTCTTATTACAGGCTATTCGCGTTACTCATGAAACCAGTGCACATGAAGGTCAGACTGAGGTATTTCACATTTCTTTTCAAAAATGTTGCTCTGTGTAAATTTGACCTTCTATTGTAAGACTTGTGTGGAAATGTATTTCCCTACTTTGGTTTTCTTTTTGTTTTTCGTTAGAATTTGTTTTTGCAACAGCAGCAACCATAGAGTGATAGCAAACAAAATGTTTTGTCCATGTTGTTAACATGGTACCATAATGTCTGGTCCACCTTGCCAGATCTGTTCACAGGTTGTAGGTGGTTTTGCTCCTTACTTTACTCAACAGGTGGCCTGCTGTTTCCCTGTCAGATTCCTGTGACTTCTTCATATCCACTTAGCCTGTATGGTTTTGGGGCATTGCTGTCATACCTAGCTTCCAGAATACATCGTGTTGCTCAGTGGCTCTGTTCTGGGCCACCATGGTCTTCACCAGCTTCATGCTGATGGGGTGCTCTGCTGGTCACGGCTATGCTCCCTCCGTTGCCTCTTCTCCCTTTATTGACTTCTCTCAGCCATTCAGTCTCTCTGCTTGTCTAAAGCCCTTGCTCTTGTGGGAACTTTGTCAGAAAATATCTAGTTAGAATGCCTAGAATTTAATTAAAGCCAATGGTCTGTTTAGAGCAGCAGGCAGTTGTACATTTTCTCCATGTGACTTGAAATCACACTTTCCAGGGCAGAGATGATTTTGGAAAAAGAATGGAGCCAGTGAAAGGGGGAAATTATGAAAATGTCATGATAAAATTCGTTATTTTTTACACTTAATGTATATTAATAAACAACAGGAAAAACTCACATTTCACACAGAATGATATTGCCTATTGACTTTAAAAATACTTGGAAATTTTTTTATGATTAAGAAACTGATTTGGCCGGGCGGTGGTGGCGCACGCCTTTAATCCCAGCACTTGGGAGGCAGAGGCAGGCGGATTTCTGAGTTCGAGGCCAGCCTGGTCTACAGAGTGAGTTCCAGGACAGCCAGGGCTACACAGAGAAACCCTGTCTCAAAAAAAAAAAAAAAAAAAAAAAAAAGTAAAAAAAAGAAACTGATTTTAGATTAGTCTTAAATCCATTTTAAGGCTGAAATACTTTGATACTGTGATATAGCTGTAATTATTCTTTTCGACTGTATGACTGCGGGTGTTTGATTAATTGAAACACTGAGTGTCCTTGTAATTATCCCTTCTAAGCTGCTCTTGGATTTGTCTTTTACCGCTGGAGACTGTTGGCATGTATTCAGTTTACGGTAGGCCACTGGAGTGAGCAGCTTGGAGTTAGTTCAGTGTTCCTGTTGTTTACACTGCTTGTTGTGGGCCCTAGGAAGTTTGGGTTGCGGAGTTGTTGGGTTGAGTAAAAACTAGTGATGAGGACCAATAGGAGATTATCATCAGATGCCAGTTACTTACACTAAAGCAATCCATGTATAGTCACTTCCAGGAATGTTTGTCTTTGTGGTGCCTTCTCATGTCCCTTCTGGAGCTTCAGTCAGTGTATTGGCTTACCACCTAAATGACAGACACATCTCTTTTTGTCCAGACTAAAAGTTGATTGTACTTTGTGATCCTGGATGCCACCACAGGAATGACCCACTGACGTTTTAGAATGTCCTTGTCCTTGTTGAAGGTTGTTATCTGGACCTTCTTTTCTTCCCTTCATGCTTCTACAGTTTTAACTCCATTACATTTCCTGACATCTAATTCAGTTGTGACTTAAACTTTTGTTTTCCTAGTGCAGTGATTCTCAAAGTGGAGTGGAGGAAGGTAGTATTTTTTAGAGGGCTTTTCTCAAGCGTTGCTCCCACAAGAATTAATTCTTCTCCTGCCTTATCATGTCTCACAGTTAAGAGTCATTGTTAGAGCTATATCATTTATATACATTATAGCTTGGAGACATATGGGGTTAAAAAACAGAGTTTGAGGCTGTTCATACATTTCTCTCTCAATATCGCCCCCTTTAGCCTGTCTGTCTTCAAGCCTCTCCTAACCCTGGCTGCTTCGGCTATTTCTCTGAAAACATTCCTCTCTAGCAAATCTCTTACTTTATTGCTATTCTTTCTTATAAATTCTCTTTGTGAAAATACTTCTTTTCACAGCATCTGCATTTCTGATTTCTCCTCAGCCTTCAGGATTAGCTTCAATGTGACTCTCTACATAAAGCACTCAATAACTTGGATATATTTTATCTATGCTATGCACTCTTTCATGTGACTTCAATATTTTGCATTTATTTATTTTTCATGTTCTTTTTTAGATACTTAAATATACATTTTTTAAAGCCACACGTGGTAGTATATAAGCTTAAAATTTTAGTACTTTGAAGGCTGAGGCATAAAAAGCAGCAGTTTGAGGTAACCTAGTCTACATAATAATGAGTTCCAGGGTCACCTAGGCTGCTGAGTCTGCAGTTTGAGGTAACCTAGTCTACATAATAATGAGTTCCAGGCTCACCTAGGCTACATAGTGAGACCCTGTGTAAACGAACAAACAGTGATACACATTTTCCTGCATTTGAACAATTCTAGACTCAGGATCTGTCTAAACTGTTGGCAGAATTTACTTACTACTGTTTCTACCTTAGTGGTATATAAAATTCCTCCTATAAGTAAATAATAGTACCTTAGTTTATGAGGTAGGGAATTTTACCTCTTGTTGTGGTTCTCAGGCCTAAGAGTGATATGTTTATTTGCACATTTCAAGTTATTCAGAACTGTTGTTTACACATAAGGCTTACTACATATTTATTGATTTCAGTATTGGGTTAGAAATGTCTTTTGTGGTATGAAAACTTAAAAAAAAAAATCTGGCTCAACAGTTAAAAGCACTTACTGTTCTAGAATAATTCTCCCAGAACTGAACCTGGGTTCAGTACCAAGCACTCACATGGGCTAGCTCATAGCTCCTTGTTATTCTAGTTTCAGATGATCTGAAACACTCATCTGGCCTCTGTGGGTACCTGAATGTGATACAAATATACAATCAGACACAACACTTTTAATCTCAGTACTTAAAGGAAGCAGAAGCATGAGAATGTCTGGGAGGTCTAACCCAGCCTGGTCTATATAGTAAGCTCCAGACCAGCTATGGAGAGCCAGTGAAACACTGTCTTTAAAACAAAAACAAGACAGATTTTTTGGAGTTCTTCAGTAAATTTTGTTTTTTTCAGCGCTGAAGACCAAACCCAGGGTCTTGTGCTTGCTAGGCAGGCATTCTACCACTGATCTAAATCCCCAACCCCATCAGTAAATATTTTAACTAGAGCATTTTTATATGAGGTCAGTCCCTTGTTTTGTATGGTTGGTTTGCACATTACAAGATGATCTTACAGCCAGGCAGTGGTGGCTCACGCCTTTAATCCCAGCACTTGGGAGGCAGCCTGGTCTACAGAGTGAGTTCCAGGACAGCCTGGGCTATAAAGAGAAACCCTGTCTCGAAAAAAACAAAAACCAAAAAAAAAAAAAAACCCAAAAAGAAAAAAACAACCAAGATGATCTTACTACTTTCTCCTAGTAATTATATATTAATGTCCTCTTGTCACTGAATAAAAAGGCCCACATCCATTTCACAACCAGCTTAAACCTCTATCAGGAACAATTTGTCTCTCTTCATCTTATTTCATTAATCAAGAACATGCTGTACAGGATGATTGACTACAAGCCCAGCAGAACGAGGCATTTTCTCAGTTGAAATTCCTCTTCCAGATAATTCTAGCTTGTGGCAAGTTGACAAAAAAAAAAAAAGTTAGGGGAAAAAAACAATAACAACAAAACTAACCAGAACACTATCAAATAATGGAGATTTGGTAATAGAACTTTAGTTTTAATATGATGTTCAGCTTAATACCATATTTGGACTTTTCGTAACATAGTAAACACAAGAGCCTTCTGGTATACCTCTTTTCACTGTAGAGATACCCCTTTCTCACCTCTCTGATCTTGCCTTCAGTCCTTTTCCAGGGAGGCCTTCTTTCATCATCTACCTGTGTTATTGTCTATCATCAAATGCCATTTCCTTCCTGGTCTTTTAAAAGTCTGTAGCAAGCTTGTTCTTCCTTTCATTTACTTCTTCATCTTGCTCACTTACTAAGATGTGGGCTCCATGAGAACATGGACCTTGGTTGTCATACATGCTTCCCAGTGTAAGGCTGGCTGAAACAGGCTTCAGTAAAAAATAACATGGTATAAAAGTTTAGAACATAGGATGTAGGTTTTCGTACTGACTCCTGTGCTTATTAATGTGGGCGAGATATTTTCCTTGTGTAAACTAAAGCTAATACTTCCTACCTTATGAGATTACTATAATGATTAGTGAGTTACTCTCAAAAGTTGCTTAAGAGTGGTGCCTGGCGTTTGACGGGCAGTCGGTGAATATGGACAGTGATATTATTTTACTAGGCATTGAGAAGATTTAATCTGATTGGCAATGGGAATGAAGTCAAATCAAAGGAAGCTTGGACTTTATAGGCAAAGGTACCAGAGATGCCGTGTCTAGTGTTAACAAATTGGGTTTCTGAATTGAGTTTAGATCATGAAATTGTATTTACTTTGTAATGGAATATAGTGGTTTTGACCTATTAAAAGCTTTGAGCTTATGTGTATAAGTCTTAATGTCATGGCAGATATTTTTAGTCTTTTGTCTTTGGATAAGAGCTTGTGAACTCTCAGAAGAGAATAACGGGGAGGCAGAAATAAACTCGGGGTCACCTAGGTAATAGGAGGAATGGACAGAGGAAGAGGAACCAGTAGTTAGCGTGTACCGAAGCTGATCACAGACATAGATGGCATCATTTGGACACCCAGGACATGACGAGAAGGTGGGCCAGAAGGGGCTTGTGTGCTGAGATTTGCGAACTAAAGGAGAAATCCGTTAGGTTGAGCCACTAATATTTTGTGTTTTGTTTTTTGTGTTTTTACTTGTTTGTTTGTTTGTTTGTTTTGTTCTGTTTTGTTTTCCAGAAGATTGGCGGTGGTCTACTGCCACAGTTGAATTGTTTCATAGATGTTTTTCACTATCTCACCATTATTGTCTGTCAA